GTACCAAACAGACCCGAAGGAGCAGGTGGACATCTTGTATGACATGATCTGTGCTGGATACCAGGAGGGCGGCAAGGACTCCTGCCAGGTACTGTTGGATCAGCTGTTTGTGCTGTGTTTACATTAACAAAACAAGAAGTGGCATTAAAAATATTTTGGATTACCTCGTTTTTCTTTTTTTTTCCTGTAGTCAGCTAATCTCTGATTTGAGCAATCTTCTGTTTAAGCACTACTGAATTAATCTTTTGGATCCCCCCCCCTCTCTCTCTCTCTCTCTCTTCTCAGGGTGATTCAGGAGGACCTCTTGTTTGTCAGATGGTAAACGGGTCCTGGGTTCAGGCTGGGGTGGTGAGTTTTGGAACTGGCTGTGCTAACGCAAACAGGCCAGGTGTGTATACCAAGCTGACCAGCTACTCAGATTTCATTAGAAGCACAATACCAGAGATTCAACTCTATGGCCATGCTAATCAAAACAAGTGTGCAGGGGCTCTTGTTGTGTTGTTCAGCTGTGTGATCGCTCTAGTGATGGTACTTCAGAAATAAGACTCTGAAAGATGTAAAGCAATCGGAATTCGCAAAACTGATTGTAACGAGTATAGGTGGTTCAGATTATTCACAATCACAATATTTTACTTTGTATCTAACATGCAAATGATGACAAACTGATTTCTTCTATATGCTGAGGTTGTATTTTAAATCAAGTGAGTAAACATTATCTTTTGTACTTGAAATAAATTGTGGATTTGATACCTGAAGCCAACTTGGTGCTCTCTTCATCTTTGTGTTTGCATCAGTTTATACAGTCACTGGCTAAGGTTGGGCGACATGTAAAAATTTTCCAACTGACAATCGTCAGTCCAATAACCAACGACTGCCTGGTATATGTCCATACTTTTTGATGGGTGGAGCAATGTAATCATGGACTGATATGCGCATTTAGAACACAGAATTACGGATGAACTACTTGCCAAATTGCACACTGGAGGAGAAGGCACAGATAGAAATGGACTGTTACCTCAGCGAGGACGTTGTAGATGGAGAAAACGATCTACTGACTTAGTAGAAAATGCATGAAAAACATTTCATCCATTGATGTCACACATGGCATGGAAATATCTGTGTATACCAGCCACAAGTACACCTTCAGAACGTGTCTTCAGCACCGCTGGTAATATTGTAAACCATCTGTGCACACTGCTAAAACCTGATAAGGTAAACATGATGGTTTTCCTGTCAAAGAATTTCTAAGTTTTGTTTGAAGGGAATGTTTGAGCTTCTTTTCTTGTTTGTTTCAGTGTTAATATAGCTACTTTTTGGATTATTTATTTGAAATTTGCCAGATCGCACAAAGGACTTAACAACAGAGATTTTCTTTTTATGTTTGCTGGA